CCCCAGCCAGGTGATTATCTAGCCTCCTTTTGAAGACCCCCAGGGTAGGAACCAGCACCACTTCCCTTGGAAGTTGTTTCCAGATCCTAGCTGCCCTGACTGTGAAGTAGTGCCTCCTGATCCCTAGCCTGAATCTACTCTCTGTCAACTTACGGCCGTTATTCCTCGTTGCTCCCGGTGGTGCTCGGGGGAACAGGGACTCTCCCATAGCCTGCTGGTCCCCCTGGGCCAGTTTGTAGATGGCCACCAGATCCCCTCTTAGCCTTCTCTTGTGGAGGCTGAACAGGTTCAGGTCCCATAGCCTCCGCTCACAGGGCCTGCCTTGCTGTCCCTTGATCATGTGAGTGGTCCTCCTCTGGACCTTCTCAATGCTATCCACATCCATCCTGAAGTGCAGCAACCAGAACTGGACACCTCAGTACTCCAACTGAGGCCTGACCAGTGTTGCATAGAGGGGGAGGATCACCTCCTTGGACCAGCTCGTGATGCATCTGTGGATGCATGACAAGGTGTGGTTAGCCTTCCTGATCGTGTCCCCACATTGGCGGCCCATGTTCATTTTGGAATCAATAATGACACCAAGATCTTTTTCTGCCTCTGTGCTGATGAGAAGGGAGCTCCCCAGCCTGTAGGTATGCTGATGGTTCATCCTCCCCAGGTGCAGTACCTTGCACTTGTCAGTATTGAATCCCATCTTGTTCTCATCTGCCCACCCCTGTAACCTGTCTAGATCTAGTTGCAGCCTGTCCCTCTCCTCCAGCATGCCCCCTTCTCCCTACATCTTAGTGTCATGCACGAATTTGAACAAGGTGCTTTTCGCCCCCTTCTCCAAGTCACTGATGAAGATGTTGAACAGTGCGGACCCGAGGACCAAGCCCTGGGGGACCCCACTGCCCACATCCCTTCAGGTCAAAAAAGACCCATCCAGCACCACTCTTCAAACGCTTGCCCATCACGACCACTCTTCAAACACCCATCCATCACCTATTCTTCAAACACTCCTCCAACAACAGTGGTCTTATTTACACTTAATTACAAAAGAAAAAAATAAGTACATACATCCAAGTTTTTGCCCATGTTCATTCACTGGAGGTATGGATAAAGATGGAAGGAGATACAACCATTTCCAAATTCTGTAGCTATAGTATATAACAAATGGCTCTAATCAGTTCTCAATTGCACAAGGTAAACTAACAGAATTGTTTATTGCATAAATGCTCTTATATTCATTGTTTTTTTTTAAAACATTAAATAAAAATAGCAGAGGTAAGACTCAGCACTAAAATGAAAACAAATAAAAGACCTGTTCCAGTTTTGGGCATAGCCTTTTCTGAGGTGGATTCATTTGTATTCTGTGATCCAGGGCTTTTTTTCTGACCATTGGAAGCATATGCTCTCACTTGGCTTAGTGACTGGACTGACAGACGGTTGCACAGGAGTACATGACAGATGCCTCCACAGCTCACTGAAGTTTGCCATCCTGAAAGAAGAAAAAAAAGGCATAAGCAACACATAAGTACTGACAATGGGGACCACAACTCCACACCACCGCCACTACCTCAGGGCTTTTTTTCTGACCATTGGAAGCATATGCTCTCACTTGGCTTAGTGACTGGACTGACAGACGGTTGCACAGGAGTACATGACAGATGCCTCCACAGCTCACTGAAGTTTGCCATCCTGAAAGAAGAAAAAAAAGGCATAAGCAACACATAAGTACTGACAATGGGGACCACAACTCCACACCACCGCCACTACCTCTGGGGCCCCCCCCCCCCCCCCCCCCGCCACTACCTCTGCTGGCGGGCGTCGAGTCTGGCTGGGCTGCAGCCCTGTGCCCTAGTTGGTGCAGAAATCATGCCACTGCTGTCACCCCCACTGCTGCCAGGTCCCAACCTCAGCCGTGCTGCAGCCCTGTGTCCCACTATCAGTGCAGAAGTCTGGGGGAGGCACATGCCCTCCCCTATTCCTGCCAATGCGTCACCTATGAAAAAAGGTTCTCTTTTCAATGGTGTTCACAACAGGAGAACATATGTCCATAAGAGTTGTTGATATTTATGGAAACAGCTTTTAGAAAATATTTTTGCCCAGTATACCCATGTATTCAAATCTCAGAAGCTTTACACAACCAAGGCAAAAACAAATGAAAATTAATCCATCCACCAATTTCCCAGGCACCTCCTGTCTCCCTTCAACCATTCATTTTTAAGCACACAGATATCCTGTTATATTTTTGTTAAGTTTCTCATTTAATTATATGTGCATTGTTTCAAAAATCTAGATTATCTTTGACCCTTTGCCACAGCAGACGACTCTAACATTTCTAGATTAATCCCTCTATTACCACTCTGCTCCCAAACATCATCATAGCAAGCAACATATTCAGCAGTCAGAAGAGGTATTACAGAATAAGGACAATGGTGGACCACTAGAAAACCAGTTTTACCTCATTCCGCTACGCTTGTCCAAACACAGTATACTAAATTGAACATGCAAAATATTCAATGGTCTTAATTCAAGTGTAATATCTCAACCTACTGTAGAGTTAAGCCACAATTAAAGCAAGTTACATATGAAATATCATTCATCTCAAAGAATCATAATATTACACACATGCAAACATGTAGCATATGAAAAAAAAGCCAGTCTTTTAAGACGGGCGCAGAATAACAACAGATATATTCATTTATTTCATAGACATTAGGGCTGAAAGGGACCTCATGAGATCATCTGGTCCAGCCCCCTGCTCAAAGAACAGGAAGTCAGCTGGTGTCAGATGACCCCAGCAAGATAATCAATCATCCAAACGCAACTTGAATGTATCCAGAGTAGGTGCTTGCACCACTTCTGGGGGCAGTCTATTCTAGACTCTGAAGACTTGGACAGTAAAGTTCTTCCTTATGTCCAGTCTAAAACAGCCTTCCAGCAGTTTGTAACCATTGGACCTTGTTTTCCCCTGGGGTGCCCTGGTGATGTGCATCAAGATCTCTCCCAGATCTTGATGCACATCCCTTATGTATTTATAGGGTGCCACCAAGTCCCTCCTGAGCCTATGCTTTTCCGAGCTGAGGAGTCCCATGACTCTCAGGCTCTCCTTAGAAGGCCTGCTCTCTTGACCTCTGTTCATGCACATGGTTCTCTATTAGACTCTCTTGAGCTTCTTCACATCCTTTTTAAATTGTGGAGCCCAGAATTGGATGCAGTATTCCAGCTGCGGCCTCACCACAGCCAAATAAAGCAGGAGAATGACAGCTTGGGTCTTGCTTGAGATGCATCAGTAGATGCAAGCCAGGGTTGTTTTTTTTTTTTTGCTTTGCCAGGTGTTGCATTGCATTGGTATTTCATGATTGACCACAAGATGAATATGACCCCCAAGTCTCTTTAATGCTGGTCTACCTTGATTAACAGCCAAATTCTGCTAAACTAATCTTGCTGATACTTAAGACAGATTATTTAACAGCTTTCCTCTGATGAAATAACTTTATCCACCACTGAAATGCAACAGCTTATTAAAAAACAGGAGTGCTGGCTTTGGGAAATAAACACGCATAAAATCAAGAACATCTAATTTATTTATACTGCATGTAATCCAACATTAAATATATGACTACATTAGATAAGTCATCTCTCAACAGTCACAAGAATATGCTTGACAAAATTATGGACTCCATAAAACAGCTTAGTCTTTTCCATTTATTTTGACACACTGCAGCAAGAATTGGTCAAAAAGGCCAATTCTAGCAGCCCATGGGATGAGCATATCTAAGGAACCCCCGTTCTGTAGCCAACAGCATAAAGTGGAGAGATGAGGCATCACGTGTCCCACCTGCTTTCGAATCCTCAGCCAAAATGATGGAGTACTTATTTACAACTGGGCAACTTTGGGAGTCCACAACTCCTGTCTCTGGAGCAGGATGCCCGAGTACTGTGCCACCAGACCCCCAAGTTAGAAACAGGCACATCTGCAGGAATAAAAAAAACACTACTTCATACAAAATACAACTGAACTATCAAGATGATCCAGAGATCAAAAAAACCTTCTGAATGGGTAGTTCTGCAATTCAAAAATGCAGCAAGTGTTCCTAAATGCTTGTCTAATAAAATTAAAATTACAGAAATATATTTTTTACTGATCAGATACATGCTTTGAGGACCAACTATATTTAGGATGTTTCCATTGTACAGGGGAAGAGGTGGAGAAAGGCATTTATTTAGTTTAGAAACAGCTGCTTCATTCCCAGTTTCGTTTATCAGCATCTTTACTGAATAGATGATCATTAATGAGAAATTTTCTTAAGCTTGTTGTTCATTTTTAATATTTTAATAAATAGGCTTGTGACAAGCTTCTATGTCCAAGTTTACATAAGTACTTTAAAGACCATTAAACTGCTTTAGCTATTTCAAGAACTCACTTTCATTGCAAGCATGTTAAAAAGCAAATACATCCAATCTTTCATTGTAAAAAACACAGAAAATTGACTACAGTTAATTTAAAAACAAAACTATTGTTCAGGTTTCCTATTCCTCACCATAAAGCAACCCAAGACTCCTTCTGCAATGAGTTCCATACAAAGTGACACCTGTGTTTGTGCAGAGCCATTTGCAGGAGCAACCCTAAGCTTACATATTCAGAGAACTCTGACCTGTATACATTGGGCTAAAATTATTGAGACATTAAGTAGTCACTATACCTCATTTTACACTATACTACAATATGCTGATGTTGGACAGCTTTTTGTGCATATAACTATCAGTGAAGCATTTGTTTTAGAGGGTGCGGGGGAAAAACGGACAAACAGCAATACAGAACCATGTAGACATAAAAACAGCCGAGCCCCGAGGCCAACTGGTCCCCACTCCACCATTAATCCCCTTAGTGTGCGTTATTGAGGTATGTATCCCATTCTACATAGAAAGCATTAACCTGAAAAAAAAATCTCTCTTCACTCCTTTTGTTCGTCACATCCTTGCATTTTACAGCAGTATCCGAATGTATAAATACTTAATGCACAGTGCAAAAATATTTATGATTTGTGTTTCCTGAAAGCGAGAGCTTTAAACAAGGCCAAATAAAAGTATGAAAAATGGATGAAAAAGTGCTTGAATGCTACTCTTAATGAACTCGAATACCGAAGAGGTTTATGCCAGGACATGCGCTAAGACTATGAACAGATGGAGTATTTATCCCTCGGTGAGTTGTGCCCGTGCGAGTCCTGGAACAGAGAAATGCTGAGACCAGCACATACACACTGTTCTTCCAACCACAGTCTAGTACGTGGCTGAAGGCACTGCCTCTTTTTTGCCACTGATTCAATCCCAGAAAAACTGTTCAGATGCACTGTATGTTGGCCCAGGACAAACTGTGAGCTCTTCTTACTCTAGGAGCCTTTTTAGTATTTGTCCCAGGATAACACAAACACAGACATGTGAATAATTGCACTCTGTCCTTGAATAAAATGTTTGTCCCCAAAGAAACCATGACACTCATCTGCAGCCTCCGATCAAAACTGGGGTAGCTGCAGCCACACCCAGAACATGACTGTCAGCTGGTGCTACCATCTTCATACCCACAATGTGGGCAGAGCCAGAGCCCCCAAGTAACTTAACCAGAACATAACTCTGGCTAAGCAGAAAGCCAATCTGTTCACGTGAAAGCAGACCTCCCAACAAGTAGCTGGCCCCTTCCAGAAAGTACCATTGGTAGACTACATACGGCAGCAATTCCCAAAGGGCGTACCGTGATGCTTCTGCCAAAACCAGGCTTGGGTAAGGCCAGGCCAGATCCAGTTGGCAGGTGTGTGCTGACAATTTTAATCCAGAAATTAAGTACGTCCCAGGTATCAAAAGCTGGGCAGACACTGACACTGAACATGTGCCGCAGATGCGCAGCAGCGCTGCTCTGGTGCCAGGGCAGGGGCACAGGGATGTCCCCGAGGTGGGGCCGCCCCAGCTGCCCCCACAGCGGGTACAACTGCCAGGCAGCGCAGAGCAAAGTTGACACAGGTGGGGACCGGGCAGACGCCCCCGCAAACCACCCTCGCGCCCCCACCACAGGGCCCAAGCGGCCCTGGCAGCCGCGCGCCAGTCGGGACCGCCGGGACGAGACGGGCCAGGAGGGCTGCGGCCTCCCAGCCCCCGAGCCCGGTCGCAGCCCCACTGCGCAGCAGGCCGAGGCTGAGGCTGAGGCGCAGGGAAGCCGGCGCACGACGCCCGCGGGCACTCCCGGGCCCGCACTCACCGCGGCAGGCGCGGCCCCGCCGGTCGAG